ACGTTGTGATGCTGGGATTAAGGGTTTGAGTGTTATCCAACCTGGGTGGGTAACCTGGATAAAATATAAGGGGCAGAGAGCAGCCATTGTTGCTGCTGCTCGCTTGCTTGCATTTGCTGTCTTCTGCCACACCATGACCTGTCCTATGATGACCCTCTGCCATACCATCCTGCCTTGGAGCCAGCCAACTATGAATGAAACCTCTACAAGCTGTGAGCTAAACAACGTTTCCTCCCTCAACCTGTGGGTGTTGGGTATTTTGTTTCAGCAATTAGAAAAGTAACTAAGATCTACGCATCAAATCATTCTAAGACTAGCTGGTTTAATATAAGTTTTTAATAATACCGTACCTGCTGTAAAGCTTTTAAATCAATTTTCTGACCTTCTATCTTCGAATAAAATTCATCCACGGCCTTATTTTTAAAAAGAGAGAGAAAAACTAGCTGTAAAAAAAAACTGGTTTCTACTTCAACTTGCACACAGAATAATGCCAAAGAACTTGAACAGATTTCCAATAAATTTATTACATAGCTAATCAATTTATTATACACTATCAAAAATCAAACAGCTGGGCACTATGGTGCATCCTGTAAATTCAGCACTCCGGTGGCTGAGGCAGGAGGATCACTCCAAGTTTGAGGCCAGCCTGGGCTACACAGTGAGACCATATCTCAAAAATTAAAAAACATAAAAAATTTTTAAAAATCAAATTACATTGAAGTCTTTGGTCCTTCATTTAGAAATAAAGTGGCAACAACTGTTTCCAGAAGCTGCACTATGACAACACTGACCTTCAGTGCCCAGATTCATACTGATTTGTGAAGAATATTTCCAGTTTCTCAGTGAAAGCAAGCTGATATTAACTTAACAATGCATACAATTTTGATGCTATCTGATTAAAAAACAGAAACAGAAAACCCACCTTGTTAAATGATTCAAATTCTATATATGGACATTGAGAATGTTGGGAAAACAAGAAAGGATGAAATTCCTCATACCTGTAAAATATATTTATTACATCACATTCAAGAACATCAATAAACCCCCAAGGCAAACTGATCCATGCCTACGTGCTTACGTGAGCATGTCTTCAATTGGTTTGTCTACTTCCAGGCGTGGCTTTACTTCTCTCTTCTGGATGATATACCCCTACAAAAATCCAATATTAAAATCACTTTCATAATTGGAATCATGTTCAATCATACTCAAAATTAACAAAGACCTACTCTCCATGTCTGGTACTAATTTTTTTTTTGTAAGAAATACCTGGAATAGAGAAGGAAAACATTCATAAGATACAAGGTAATTTTTAAAATGTCTAACTATTAGAGGGCTACAAATCACCTAATTTTTAAAATCTGTTGGCAAATTAAAATACTCTTCTTTGTGTAAAATCAATTCAAGAAGACATTCCCAAATTCTTCAACTTTTCTGAAATGCTGATACTGGCAGATATAGTACTTTCTATAAAAAAATAAGGAAAAGGGCTGGGGGTATAGTACGATGGTAGAACACTAGCCAGCATGTGTCCCCAACATGGGTGTTGGGGATCAGAAATTATAAGCTGACATAGAATTTGTCCTACAGTCTCCTTGCCCTTGCCTACCTTATGGGCTGGTTTTGGAATGAGGGATTCACTTTTCTGGTCAATGAAATTAGCACCCAGATGTGGGGATGGATCTTGACTTGTTTCCTTTACGACGTTAAATTTGCGCATTTCACCACAGCCTCTACTCTGTTCCAGGAAAAGCACCCTATCCTTTCCCCTACACTGGCTAGGAAACAGTGGCTGGCTTGGAGCGTCTCTGCCTCTGCCCATCCTGAGGCCCTGACCTCCCAGCCCATTATGCATTACTAAATTTGTTTCTTTTTTCATCCTTTCACCGAACCCCTCATACAGGCTGCTGGGGATTCTTGGCCTGGTCCCCGAAACCACTGGGTCTGATTCTCAACACCAGTACCTCAAAAACCAAAGTAAGAGGGCCAGAGATATAGCTCAGTGGAACAGCACCTGCCTGGCAAGTGCCAGGTCCTAAGTTCGATTCCCAGTACCAAAACACAAACAAAAAACAAAGTAAAAGCCAAGTATGGTGGCACATGCCTGTAATCCCAGCACTTGGGAGGCTGAGGCAGGAGGACTGCCATGAGTTCAAGCCCAGCC